CCTCATCTTTCTCTCGCAGAGCAGCCGGTAGATTCGAACTGCTGACCTTACGGTTACCAGCTTGACTCGTAATCCATCATGCTACCAGAACTCCTCAACTTGAGCCTATATTTCTCTTAATTGCAGGATGAAGGAAAACACAAGGCCTTGAAGTCATCTCAAGCATTCTTTTCTAAATTACAAGATCAAGTAAGGATGCAAATCAGTGATACAAAGAAAAGAGAAAAAAACAAAAAGGAGAAAACGCATGACCTTTCTATTCATAAATTAAAACTGTGATATGTTCTAAATAAAATGTTTGTGTGTTGGCTTATATCCTCCTCTCATTGTTTTGATTTGTAATAAAGTTTGACAAACTTTGTGCATTGGTGGCATACTTGAGAATTCCCAGGTTTTAAAGACAGACGTTATGAAACTCTGTGTTGGAAAGGCATTCTTGCTCTCTCAGGGGGGTGAAGCAAGCTCTGTGCACCGAAGTCTTTCCCAGCGCCGGGGCTGACTGTCACTCCCACTCTGCTCGCCCAGGACCCACAGTGAGGACGATTGTGTACGTGGCCGGAGGGCGAGAGTGGCCTGCAGCTTGGAAAGGACACAGGGCCAGCCACCCTGCACACTGGACTTTCTACAGCAGAGGGAGGGCCTCCTTCTCTGGGTTGGGTTGTTCTTTACCAGCTGACCTGTCAGCCTTTCACAAAACCAGGAGGGTCTCACACGTGAGCTGTCCCAGGAGCACAAGTTAGTGTAGGCTGTAGGGGACAGTCCACACCTCATGCATCCAGGACAAGGTGTAATCTAGAAGTGATCAAACGTAAGAACAGGGAACGAAACCACCACGTGGTCATTTCTGCTTTGATGGAAATGCTTTGTGCCTTACACCAGATTGGTAAGAAATAACTCCCTGTGATTGAGCTGTAGTAACAGTAAGCCGTGGTTTCTCATCTGATGGGCAGGTCAACACAACGGGGGCTGAGCTGGGAGAAGGACCATATGCCGCCAGGCCATACTAAAGTAATTGTTTCTTACCTCTGTCTTCCTTTGACCCCTGGTCTCTCACCTTAGTCCTTGTTATAATCGTGATTTCAGTCTTACACAGCACAACCTCAGGACTTTGCAATTTTGTTTTTTATTCAATCCGTTTGCCACATTCCACTAACTGCTAGTTCCATTCACTTTCACAATGTGTCAGATTCAGAATGTTTCAGCGAAAAGTGATGATTTATTTTATTCATATCCCAAGGTAGTTTGATATTTGCTGAGTTTAAATCATTTATTTTGTTGACTTTTTTTTTCTTAATCTAGGTGAGATATTAAGAGTCCATTCACTTTTTAAAATGCAGCATTTGCTATGTTTTAAATATTCACTTCAAGCTTTCCTTTGTGCAAGGTACTCTTCTAAGTATAACTGAAGAACACATACATTTTGACTCTTAGGAAGTATGCATTCTAATGGATACATTTAGAATGCTTCTATGTAAATCAGAAACAACCATTTGAAATCAAGCCAATAGTTTATTCCTCACCCTCCATTATAGTGCCATCGAGACAGTTCCGACCCTTTGTGACCCTGTATAAGGTTTCCTAGGAGCAGCTGGTGAGCTCAAACCACAGACCCTGTGCTTCAAAGGTAGCCATAGTTGTGAACTGTGTTCGCCATTTCTTTGCTTTTTTATGCCATTTTAACACGTGCACATGTTTCCTAGATAATGCTTAATTTTTTTAGCATTTGAATTTTAAGCAAATAAAACACTACATACCTGTTTTGACTTGCTTTTTTACTTGTTACTGATTTCGCTGAAGTTCATTCATCTTCACTGCTGTGTAGTATGAAGATTCTACCATTTTATTTGCCCCTTCTGCTAGTGACGTTCGTAGTTTTGCATGGTCGTGAACAGTGTGCAGACGTGCTAATGCCTTGCAGAGCAGAGTTGCTAGGGAGGGTCCAACAGAATTCCAGACTGTTTTCAAAGTAGCTGTACAAACTTGCACCTCCATCATTTCTTCATCATTAGACTTTTACATTTTTTTACTTTGCCATTCTGGTGGTTATAAAATATAACTTTGTCTTTATGTAGCTCTGAAATGAATGAAATCAAAGATTTTAATAACCAGATCATAAACTATGGCTAATGTTAAGAATGGGAAATTCGGAACACTTGTATTCATACAGTGCTCACACAGAATAGGGGCTGTTGTGTGGTTTAAAATCAGGACAGGTATGTGATTTTCACCATACGTGTTCAGAATGTACGCTGAGCAAATAATGCGAGAATCAGACTACAGGAACAAGAATGTGGGGTCAGGAGGAGATTCCTGAACAACCAGCAATAGGCAGATGCCACAACCTTGCTGAAAGTGAAAACCTGAAGCTCTTACTGATGAAGACTGAAGACTACAGCCTTCAATATAGGTCACACCTCCCCATAAACAAAATTTCTCACAACTGGACCAGCAGGCAACAACATAAATGGGAAAAGTATTGACATTTTCAAGGATGTCATTTTATTCGGATCCACAACCACCACCCATGGAAACAGCAGACGAGAAATCAAATGCTGTGTACACGCGGTCCCCAGATTACAAGTTCTGTTCCTAAATCTGTCTTTAAACCGAATTTTTACGTAAATCAGAAGTTAGGTAGCATTTATATCTAGCATCAATTAGTCATGTTTGTCTTAGTGTCATGTATAGCGGAGTCCTCGTGTGGTGCTGTAGGATAAGCACTGGACTGCTGACTGCAATCTTAGTTAAAACTAACCAACCACTCCTTGGAAACCCAATACAGGGTCTCTTTGAGCAGCAACCTATTCAATGGCACTTAAAAACAACAAATCATGTATTGGAAACTTTTTGCATACAGGAAAAAACATCAGAAAAACACTTTGAGATGCTCTGTTGTTGAGTGCCATGGACTTGGTTCAGACTCAACAACCCTCTTCTGGTTTATTGAAGCAGACCATTTCATTGTTCTCCCATGGAGCGGCTGGTGGGCTCGAACTGAAGACCTTGTGATTCTCAGTCCAGTGCTAATTGTATGCAGCCACCGCAATCCAGATGCTCTAAAACATCCTTAAGATAGTAATGCAGTTGTTAAGTGCCGTCAAGTTGATTCTGACCCATAGCCACACTGTTGAGCTTGAATCGTCAACTTTGCGGTTCAAACTGACATCGCAGTCCAGCGCATTAACCCACAGCGCCACACCAGGACATAGGAATAACCATTATAAATAATGCTTGTGATGAATAAATAAGTATCTGGTTGTTACTACAAATCATCCTATGTATCTCAAACCTGTAATATTAGGTTTAGGGACGTTGGTTCGTAATGGGGATATGTAACCCCAGAACCACCTGCATTTTGCATTTGGCAACTTGCATTTGCATTTTGCAATTTGCATTGCTGCAGAAGGTCATTTTAACATGTTAAAAAGCAAAGGCATCACTGTAGTGAAGGTGAGCCTGACCCAAGTCAAGGTATTTCCACTGGCCTCACATACGTGCTGAACAATGAAAAAGACAAACGTATAATTGATGACTTTTTGTGCTATTGGTGAAGAATATTGAAAGTGCCATAAACTGCCATAAAAATGAGCAAATCCGTCATGGAGGAAGTACAACCAGAACGTTCCTTAGAAGAGAGGAAGGCTGGAGATCATCAGCCTGGAGATGACGGACATACTTTGGCCTTGTCATCAGTGTCTGGAAGAGGACATCATGTTTATAAAGCACAGGGTCAATCAAAAAGAGGAAGACCCCCCACAACGAGATGCACCAATGGACTGGCTACAAAGTGGCTTCAAACATCTTAACATCTGTGACCATTAGGCACTAGTGACTCTGTTTTACACTGGTCACTATGAGCCGGAACCAATATGATGGAACTGAGATTGTCTGTTTGAAAATATCTTTCTATTTTGGTATCTTAAAGTTATAGAAAAATAAAAATAAGTTAATCTCAATTGTTTTGTTATTGTTAAGTGCCATCGAGTGGGTTCCAACTCATAGTGACCCTGGCTGAGTTTCCAAGGGTGTTAATCTTTGTGGGAGCCAAAACCCTCATCTTTTTGACACGGAGGACTGGTGGGTTTGAACCGCCGACCTTGTGGCACTATAAAACAAACACTGGACTGCGAACCACAAGGACGGTGTTTCAAACTCTCCAACTGTTCCTTGAAAACCCATTAGAGAATTGCTGTTAGTCAGAACAGCAACAACAACAATTAGTCAGAAGCAACTTGACGGCACTTAACAACAATTAGCTAATCCACTGTCCAAATTTTGTTAACTGCCCCAATAAATACCCTATAGAGTTTTTTCTCTTCCCCTGGTCCAGAATCATTCCAAGATCACTTACTGCATTGTCATCTACCTTAGGTTTCCAGTAATCTAGAACCATTTTGAGCCTTTGTCTTGCTTAACTAACATTTTTGAAGTGTTGTTGATGTTAAGTGCCATTCAGACAGTTCCAATTCATAGCACTTCTGTAGAGGGCTTCCAAGGAGCAGCTGATGAGTTTTAGTCAATGACCTTGTGGTTCAAACCAACCTTGGGTAGGTATCCTACAGTGCTGTAGCAGTAGTTGAGAAATCAAAGGATGTATTGCCTTAGGCAAATCTGCTGCACAAGACCTCTTTGTAGTGTTCAAGAGCAAAGATGTCACCTTGAGGACTAAGGTGTGCCTGACCCAAGCCATGGTATGTTCAGTAACCTCATATGCATGCGAAAGCTGGACAGTGAATAAGGAAGACCGTAGAAGAATAGATGAATTATGGTGCTGGAGGAGAATACTGAAAGTAGCATGGACTTCCAAAAGTACAAACAAGATCTGTGTTGGAAGAAGTGCAGCCAGAGTGCTCCTTGGAAGCCAGGATGACCAAACTTCGTCTCTCATACTTTGGATATTATTATTAGGAGGGACCAATCGCTGGAGAAATATATCCTGCTGGGTAAAGTGGAAGGATGGAGAAAAAGAGCAAGATCTCAACAAGATGGATTGTCATAGTGACAGTAGCAATGAGCTCAAGTGTAGGAACGATTGTGAGGTCGGTGTTTTATTCTGTTGTGCAGAAGGTCACTGTGAGTTGGTACTGACTCGATGGCATGTAACAACCACCACCAAAGTGTTCTGTTGCGCACAGGGTTGCTATGAGTCGGTACCAACTCGATGGCACGTAACAACAACATTCAAAGTTTGTTTATCCATGCTTACATTGATGGTCACCACAGATGAGCCGGGTCTTGGAACATGGAAAGGTGAGGAGAGACTCAAAACTATAGGTGAG